AGTTGAGTAATCTTTTTGTGGTTGTACAGCAGTGAAACTTCATCGTCAACACTGATATTTCTTTCTTTGATGATGACGAAATTGCTTTACTTCTGGAGAGACTATCCTGAGAGGGGACAACTTTACAGAAAAATTGACTTTGTTTGACTACCTGAGGTGACTTTTCTGGAAGCAGACGGCCACTATGCTAATTTTTTATTAGTCTACTTTGTCTACTCTGGCCTCTTTAGCGTGCAAGTTTCTTGGCACTAAGAACTCCTGAAGCTAAGTAGCATCTACTGAGTTTGACGAACTGATCAACCCTGTCAACATCCACGGCAGCTCGTGTTGTTTCTCCCCGACCTCAGAGAATACAATAAGAGAGAAACTTTCTGACCCCAAGCAATGCTAGTATAGGACAAAATATGTTTACTTCCTCAGACATAATGAGCCCAGGATTTCCGTGGCTGGAAAAACAAACACTAATCAAATGATGCTAGACATCCATTTTCTGTCTGTACATGGACCCAGAATGTGCATGCGTACCTGAAATTCGGGTGTACTTCATATCTGAATTCCAAACAATGCCTCTTTGTGCATGGGTAGTTGTGAGCAGATTGACGGTATATTGTTCATATGCCTTCTGGCAGAGAGTGGACACCAATTTGTCTGTTCTACATGTCCAAACCAATGAGTGCTTGAAATTCCGGAGTTCAGCGACACTGATCTCCACCTCTTCAGGACGCCAGTCGAAACAAAATTGTCAGAAACTTACATTGTAATGCCCCTGTAGAATGTGAATCATTCCTCGGACTTTTATTTCTACATGGCTTCAACTGTCAAGATATTCGCTGATCACACTTTCATGTGTTTGAATACGCGCCGTTCTCACTGGTTATATGCATCAAACTGTCTGTAAGCTAGCGGGTATCAGTGCCTACGTACATACGAATGAAGGAATAAATTAGTAACCCCGTAGACTAGCTACTAAAAGACGTCTTCATGTTTGATAAGGACTGTTGAACAGGAGTCAACAGTAGTCTGATTACTCAGGTTGACTTTTTTGTTTGGAGGCAACTCAGAAGTGACCGTCTATCTTGTTAATGCTGCGTCGCCCGAGACGAGTAGTCTATTCTGTGCAAGTGGGTTTTGAGGTCCCAGTTGAGGTGTCTTTAGCCAAACGGTTCCCAACAAACCCGCAAAGCGAGTAGTAATCGATTACGATGCCAGCTGAGTATGAATGCTCGCCCAGCTGTCTAATTCAAGATTGATCGATGGATCGATACAGCGAGTCATGTTTTACAAACCAATGCCTGAGTGGATCTTCAGTGAAATTCGCTCACAAGCTAAGGGGAATGGACAAATATCGCTCATTTGGTGTGCGCATACCATCAGTCCTGACTACCCGCTGGTTCCCCCGCGTTATTTGTTTTCAGCTGGCGTGGAACGAAACGCTTGTGAACGTGTTGCTGGATTTCGGAGCTAATGTGAACCAAATGACAGACGAAGGTGTGACTGCTCTTGGCCTGGCGTTCTTGTTTTACAGCCGGGCGATGCAACAACTTGCAGACCAAGCTGGTTCACAAGCCAATCACCATCTCATTCGATTCGACGCTCCCGAAAGTGAAAGTGAACTGCACTCAGAAGGTGAAACGCACGATGGCAGCACTTTTCTACATCAGGCCGAGGTGACAATCCACCTAAAGGATTTGGCCATCGTAGATGACGAGAAACAACGAGAATTGGCAAAGCTAGCTCAAATGCACAAACTCTATGCTCAAAAATCGCCCACAAAAGGTACGCGTCCCATGTATGTGTCTAACATTCACCAAAGACGGGTGCTAGGTGTCTTTGTTTCTTTCTCTTGGGCATTTTTGTGGCGACAGTGTTCTGCGATATGACTTCCTGACTGACTGAAGGAACGTTTATTAACGCACAGATGCGCTCCTCTTCGGACTGGTGATACCACCTCGATTTTTGAGGAAGCATCTCAAACAAAAGTGGAAAACTCGGAAGTGTGAACAACCTGAGCCACAAACCCCCTATTCTAAATCTAGATCATCTGACTACATAAACCTAGAAATTTAAATGTCAGTGAAACTATTCAGGAGTGTTCGAAAGAGAGACGTGAGACCCTGCAACATGAGAGGTTTTATCTTTCGGTAAAATTTACTTTGAAATGAAGAGGCCTTTTCCTGTTTACCACCAAAACCTTTGTTCGGTAAAAGTGTTTTACATCTTCCCTTCTTTCTCCTTCCTCTTTCCTCAAATGTTTGGACTTCATACTGCTTTCCAGTAACCTTGAGCAGTTTATCTTGTAGGAAGTGTGGTGCAAATATGTGCTTTGCACAGATCGTATCGTCTTGTTATGATTTCTTGATGACAGCATTTGAACCACATCAACGATAGCGGCGTCGTAGCACCTCAGAGCAATGAATAGTATTCATGCGAACTCATCTTTGAAGACGCACGGAGAACGATCACTTTTGGGACAGAAGTACTCTTTTCCTGCTTGCAGCTTCATGCTGAAACAAATTACTGGAAATATAAACGTTTGTTCTATGGAATCCGACACCCATTCAACTGCGCACTGACGATGTCTCCTCGACTGGGGGCGAAACGTTTGCAAGCCAATTGCCAAGCTGGGCGAACAGATCAACTGCCAACTGATCAACCACCAGAATCCGACAGAGCCAATCAATCAATCTTTGTTTGTAGATGGATGCTTATAACCGAAATAAGTATTCACTTTCAAAATTGCGTTTTTTCATCCTTTATCCCAAACAGCTGCGACAGCCTTGAAGCCCATCACCGAAAGTCAGTGGGTCAAGGACAGGGAACAGGCGGCTACAATAGAACAACCAGAAATGAAGTTACCCTCCTTCGAGCGTTTCACCGAATGTCTCACGCGTTTGAACAAACAGTTGGATTTGCGTGAATCAGCGCGGCAGCGGTGAGTAATCGCGCATCGCGCTTTCCATTAGCTCCTGATTACGATTGTGGTCACTTCAGTACCGTTTTCTGGCCACCCAAAGTAGATTTCCTTAGTCCGACGCACAAAAAACTTGGTGTTTTGCGACCAGAGAATATATATACCCAAGTTTTAATGATGGAAACGGAACAAAAATGAGGTGAAGCACGACCATACGAGCGTTGACTACCTGCAATAAGGTCCGTAGTCATAAAATAAGTTGGTACAGGGTCTTACGAATTTGCAACTCAGACAGGCGTAGATGGCGGTTGATTTTTAAAAATGAATTTTGGTCACCGTACAAAAGCCAAATTATTATCTGAAGATCCCAACTTCACGCGCAAAAAGGTAATCACAGTTTGCATTTTGTTTTAGGGTACAAGAAATGAAGGATGCAGTTGTGCAGGTGAGTTGTTGTCGTATGAATGATTCTGACCAGTTGGGAATACCATGTGAAGAAATGTTGTCCCCTGAGTAGTTAATCTTCAGAAGCAACCCACCGAGTTTTCTGTCTTGACTGGGATGTCTGGGCGAATTTCAGTTGCTTCTCGGTTCACAACAGTGTCAAGCGACCACCAGTCATAGTTACGCAACTGAAAAACTTCGCAGTAGGAGCTAAGCAGAAAATTACCTTGTTTCCTCGACAAACGAGGAGACGAGGAGACGATTTAAGTTGTCGTTAGTGACCCACCTAGTCCCAGAATAATCTCTTTTATATGATTTCCATCTCCTAGTGGATATGCTGCACCGGGAAGCCACATCTTTAATTTAGCACGATATCCGGGATATCGAAATAAACATTGTAGGCGTAACGCACTACTGAGGTTCAAGAGAGTTTTCCAAACCAAATTGGTGTCAAAATCAGTCTTCAAACATAAGATTGACGTAAAGTCAAAAACTGCGAATATCTGATGTGTCCCAGGTTGGGTGAAACCGGTCATGGTATGTCAAAGTGTTTTCAGCAACCTTGTGAGTAGTGTGTTTATTACTGATACGAAATATTTGTCTACTATGTGAGACATCCTCTTATGAATGGGACTTGCCTGCGATGTTGCACTCAGTGATTGTGTGTTGACTCAACCGAAAGCAGGGCATTGTTCACGACAACGATCGGCAAGATGCCTCGAGAGCCAAATACATTTGCCATTGCGATTACATAGAACCAGCGAAATCGTGACGAAATTAGCAGTTCAAATAAATCAGTCTGAATTAAGCAGCTGCCAGTTTATGCGTTAAAATAGGTTGCAAAACGTAGCGCGTGATATAGAGAATGACAGTTTGTCCTGTACAGTTTATTCACTGAAGCCTGCGTAGTAAATTCACTCTCCTTGGGGAAGAAAAACTATAAATTCACTGGACTGATTCCGGTTGAATTGCTCTGCTGGGTGTACGGTGGTTAAAATAACTGGGTCCCACTTTCGACCAATCACATTTCGTGAGTGTTCATGACAGCGCCCGCCAGTTCATCATCAAACGATGTGAACTAGTCGGTGGAGCGAAGCTGACTGACTCGGGGACAAAAAAGTTTCAGACATTCGAAAAGTTTACAGCAGATTGTGTTTACACACAGTTCTCCCATATTATCTTCCGATTCAAGTAATCGACAATTTGTACTAGATTACGGCAAGATCCACGAAGCTTAGTGAATAGGTGTTATTCTGCCTTTCTTTGAAACTTGTGGATTCTGACGTTTGTTGCTTTGTCGAAATGGTGATTCTAGAAGGAGAAATGAAGCTAGTAGATGAGAGGTCGCGGATTAAAAAACTCCACAAAGTTTCGTGGAATTCGTACTGTTGAAAATTTTCAATAAGAATGAAAAGCCTATCCACCACTTCCTGCCTTTTCCGGGTGACTATCGGATGGTTGACTTAACATGCGGTACGAAGTCCCATTTGAAAAGTCAAATCTGCCTAGAAACCCAGAAGAAATATCAACTGTTTCACCTTTAGTGGGAAGTATTAGCGTGTCACATCCTACGAGTCTTCTCAGGGATTCGAACCTGCAAGAGCAGGAAGGTGTCGAAAAATCCAACGGCCAGAGGTTGATCAACAGGGTGGTACTTTACACCTAGACGAGATCCAGGCACTATGATCTTTTATTTGTGCAATTCACATGGTCTGGTCACGTGCTTAATGCTTCGAAAGATAGAAGGATGATGCGAATTCGAAGTTTTATGGTTACTTGAGGGTTCTCAATAATGAAAAGACTGAAATTCCGACTGGGATTCAATTCCAAGAATGCGGTTGGTCTGCACTAAAAATCCAAAAAGACTGTACACATGTTTCTCGCCACCTAGGAATTAACAAAGTATCGGTGATACTACTGATGGGGGGCCACGCGAGTAGTAAGTTTTCTTCTTGTAAATTCGCTTTGCGTCTCTTGAAAAGGGGGATCTACTGCGGAATTTGTGGAGTCACTCGGTAGCATTTGCTTGGATTTGAACAACAGTCAATGAATATCCGGGAAAGTTCAGGAAGACGTGTTCAAGAGAAGATGGATGTTCAGTTTTTGTAAACAAGATGCATATGAGAGTTTTGCTTCCCTGTCCAATAGTCTTTAACTGGTCAGTTGGCATTTCCTAGTAAACAACTCCACAGCAAAAGCCTTCTTCCTTGCAACAGTAGTGCCCAGCTTGTGAAGCTTTACGGTAAGATGTACATCCGACCTTCCGGCTGATGTCTAAATAGTTCGCCGTTTGGTTACAAGTTTCTGACCAATGCTCTGAAATGTTCAGATATACAGATGCCCAAGCCATGATGTAGTTTGATGTAGACGTTTCACTTGGGGACTCCTCTAAACAGAGTCTAAGCTGGCCTTAACTCTCGCCTTCTTTATCTGTAGGAAGAATCCCCTCATTCTAAACACCCTTTAATCGATTGGCCTACCAAGGAAGCTTCTGCCGAAGCCATCAGTGCTGTGGCAAGAGGACTGTCCAGGAACAGATTTTTTCTGTCCAAACAGTCCCTTACGCCGTCAACCTTGAGCCGAGAGGGCACAATGGATACTCAGACGTCATCCGATTCGGTTGGCGAATGCCAGTCTGCGGTGAATCAGAAGGCTTTCCTGTTGGTGCAGTGAGTTCTTTTAAAAAATCAAATTAGTTGCACCCAGTTAACAAAAGTTTAACGAGTAACATTTTGTTTGTTTTACTGTTGTAACTGCGGCCTTCAAAATGGCGCGGGCCACTTTACTGTCTGAGATCATATGAATTCCCGGGTGATTTTAAGGCACGATCTTGAGACCCAGTCTTTATGATAGGATTACGCTGAAATTACCCGCGGGATCCATACGGTAGAACTAATGCACACTACCAATGCACAAGTACCACTCCAATGTGTTTCAGCCTAGTTGTCTGAATGAAGGATAATACTAGCTTGAATTAGTATAGGCAAGGATTTCAATTGGTTCTCCCGTTAGTACCACGACAACTTACAAATAAATATATATCGCCAGATGCGTGGTAGTGAAGCCAGGATGCTCGGTTCAAGGGAAAGTGTTTCACGACTCCGCATGAGCAGTAANGTCGTGTCAGACATTCAATAGGCTAGAGCTCGGCAGTAATCCTATCATTCAGCTTTGGGGTACCTATGCTGTGACTGGTCTTGGATTTTCCGATCGGCTCACCGAGACGAGAGAGGTAAAACCGACATCCTGGTCATCAGATAAGCCGATCTTGATTATTTCCAACAGATAAACAACTCATATATGAGTGGTGTTCAGTCATGATATATCGATTGGTCTGAAGGTCTGGTGCGACATATACACGACGTTTGTTCTGTCAGTATATCAGATTCGGCATCATCAGCTAATCAACGATTGGGCGATATCAAGTAACCGAATGAAGATAGTTCAGAGCATATATAGACCAATGAGAGTTATCCGTCGGTCACCGATCAATAAAATCCAATATGTACAGAAGAAAAAACATTGGAATAGATGGAATCCTGACAAGGCGAAGTTAAAATCACACATGATGCACTGAACCAGCATACAAGCGCATTTGATTACGTTTCAATGCCTAGCCAGCAGAGCACTGTGATATTCGTAACGTACGGAGTAATAAAAGCATGCTTGCCTGATAAAGATGGATGATATTCAAAATAGACTGAGACTTCTATGATGCCTAGCCAGCAGAGCACTGTGATATTTGCAACGTACGGAGTAATAAAAGCATGCTTGTCTGATAAAGATGGGTGATATTCAAAATAGACTGAGACTTCTATGCTGAAAAGCCGAGAAGCACTGTACGGCTGTTTCATTCTTATTGGGAATCACCAGCAGTGCGCACCTCACGCAGCTCCAGGGGTCTCCAACCTGCAACCAATGGGCAAGTAGATTGGAAATTAACCGTTCCAGCTGAGTAGCAGTGTGAATTTCTCGCACATATGGAGAGGATATAGCACCTCTTATCCTCCAATCATGGGACCCACATCAAGTGGTCACGTGGTTTCTCAATAGGCGACTTCTTAGATGGAAGTTCCACTCATCGGGTGAACTTTACTCACTTCGAGCTGTTTATAGACTGCTGGTAATAAGGGTAAGAAAAAATTCACTTGTCGCGGCAAAACACCGAAAGGAATCCATCAGACTTCACTTCAAAGTATCATACGAACAAAACCTATGGATACGAGTGATTGATGTTACGTTGCAATGACTGTATAACCGCATTTCATGCGGCTCTGCTCCTTGAAGACCTCTCGAAAATCCTCTTTGACCTCAAGTTCCGTCGTTCGAATCTAACCGCAGTGCTCCTGTATAGAATTTGGGAAGCCTCCTACTTCCTTCTGGTGACATGGCAGCTATGTATCAAAAGGGCGTCAGAGCCGAATGATTATCACATTTTATTGTACTGTTTGCTCTTTGTTTCTTCGAAAATGTTCTACTCTTCACGGTGGAACCTCTTCAGGAAAAATCAGATTGTACGCATGATCGGATTGTTGTTGCAACGAGGGGCGGACCCAAACATGGCCGCACAACCCATTCCCTCATTGTTCACGGCTGTTCGTTGGGCGGACATTTCAATGGTGAGACGCCTGCTACGTCATGGCGCTCAGGTCAATGCGTCTCTGGAAGTGGACAGAGAGAAATGTGTCGAACAGTCTGTATGTGAGGTAAGTTTGAATCCAGTTATGTTGACTCGGTGTTGAGCATGAGTTCGAATTCGGACAGTCTCAGAGCATTATTCATAAGGACTAAATTCTCCGTTGTCCCTGACGTACTTCCATTATCATTCGGGATGGGTACCTCCGAAACCAATTTGCCAAGACATACATACAACTGACAATAGAATATAAAATGCCTTCAGTGGTCTGTATGAAGCTAATTTCATCCCATTTTTCCCAACATGCAATGTTTTTCAATACCTTACGACACGACAACTCACCTACGAAACACAGCAGAACTAGTGAAAACTGACCTCTGTTAGGGAAAAACAAGCGGTTACTTGCACGATGTGAGTGGGTTGCACCACTCTTACGAACTTATACACGCACCGGTATTCTGACAGGCAGCCAAACTGCATCTGTTTCAAGGTCGAATGCGTTTTAATACGCGTGGCGGCATAGAATCATCCTATAGCCTCACAGATACCCGTGTCAGATGATTAGACCACTGGAAATGTTGCCATGTGGCTGGTTTTCGAAGTCTGGAAAACTTTAGGCAACGTGACAAAGGGGGAGTCCATCCAGACGGCCATTGAGTGATGTTCTGCTCTACCAGTTAAATCAACCAAATTTTGCCCCCTGTCACAAACAGTGATGAGGTGTCGAAAACTGCCTCAGTGTTCAAGAAGCTGGATTCATTCGGATGTTGAATCAGCAGCACTCTGCATCAGTGGTGCTGTCATTGAGGGAATCTGAAGTTGCCATGCTCGACTGTTTTGCCCGGTTTTCTCGCATGGACACCAAAAGTTATGCCCAACTTTTGACGGAAGATTGAACGGGGTCTCATAGGCCCGATAACTTCCCCTTTTAGACAACCATTACTATGTACCAATTTTGTTCTCTCCGGTGGCTGCCTCGTGCGTTTATCCGATGAACTCAAAAGATGTGACATGCTGTTTCTCTGAATGTTAGGCCCCACAGTCAAGCTAAGAGACTGTTATTCTCAATTTAATCATATGCAACTGTTTCAGCGGCGACTCTCCTGCAATATTTGGTCACTTCAAGTTTTTTTCAGGAACGCCATAATATGTACCGCGAAACTGTCTGTCAAGGGGTGTGCAGCAAGTCAGATATCAAACAGCTTTTAGCGATTGCTGAAGGCATTAGCTGATTGGTCCTTCACTCATAGCTGAGCACATTCTGATTGGATTTACTGGACACAAACATTTAGGAAAGATCCAGAACATACAGCGCGGGAATCGAAGCGGGAATAGGGGATTTTTAATCAGGGCACTTTTTCGGGCCTTTTTCAAAAATGTCTCCATCCGCTGAGACACCCGTCCTCTGAGGCAAGCACAACACTTTGGTTGGTTCAATATACCTAACTAGAACAATTCGCATGTCCTCTAAAACGAGACTGATGATACTAACACAACGACACCTACGTATATGGAGTGGGCACATATCGAGAGGAGGCAAGGCAGGGGCTCCACGAACAATTCAGCAGCTATCCTGACGACCATTCACGTCAGTGGCAGAGACAATTAGTGTCCATCACTCAATACTTGTCGTGTACCTGTTTCCCTGATGTCGGTCCGTCAGTCAGTCAGTCGGTCTATCTGTCAGTCAGGCAGTCAGGCAGTCAGTCAGTCAGGCAGTAAGTAAGTAAGTCAGTCAGTCAGTCAGTCAGTCAGTCAGGAGTAGACGTGAATAAGTTCGCCGGGTGACGACAAAATAGTGTTGCACACTGACGGCAAGGCCCATTTCAGGATCAGTCGGCCAGGCGACTTTTGGGTAACTCTGTCTTCCTAAAGGAAATGTCAGGATAGACTGGAATTTACTGTAATCCACTCTTTTCTCCAGTTTGGATGTATCCTGATCATGAGCCAGGTACATACGCCTGTCGAACGCAGTTCGATTATTTTTTCGGCCATTTACAAATGCATCAATTTAACCTAGGTTCCTGATTTCACCGAGGAATCCGCGCAACCTCAGACTTCTCCCGTGCTGAGCCTGGATGGACTGACTCCACTTCACTATGCAGTACTTTTACCCGGCAAGAAAGGTGTCCGGATGGTCCAAATGCTGTTGGAGGCCGGGGCCAATCCAGATGCCCAAGCAGCTCCTGACCAAAGTTTTACGATCCAGTCATCAAACCACGAGTCAGAAAGCACGGTGAGATAGGTGAATTGTTTGATTAAAAACACCGTCAACATAATTGTGAAAAAGTATGGACATTGTTTCGTGAACCAAAAAATTGAAATAAAACCTCGGATGTGTTTTTTTGGATAATATAATGTTATGGCTGTATTCGGTTTTTATGCAATGACAGACTTGTAGACGGTCCATTTGAATCATTGGCTGAGAAAAGTGTTCTTTCGTGAAGTACAGAAAAATCCGTGTTGAATGAACTGTTAGTCTTGATGAAAATTTGTTTCTGTAAATGTGGTCTCGAACTAGTGACCTCTTAGATGGTAGTCTGATCACTTAGCGCCCAATCGGCCACAAGCGGTTGAGTAGCCGTGTGGCTAGCCCGCATTTAGACAGGATATAACACCACTCATCCTTCAGTCACGGAATCCATATCACGTGGTCACGTGCTGACCAGATCTTCGAGTGACAACTTCTCAGACGTTCCCCTTAAATGCTCTCAGAAGCTCCACTTACCACTTACGAGACAAAATCTTCGTCAAAAGCGTTTACAATTCCAATAGTTTGAAGTTTATTCTCCACGTTGTGCAATTTAATCTGGATCAAACATTTGCTCTCCGAGTGAAAATCAAGGTAGTGACAATTTAATGTTTTCAAGTCGTATTTAACCGGTCAAAATTTGTACTCTTAAGGCTGTCGGAAGGTTGTTTACTAGCAACCGAAAAAGCCTGGGTTAGTACAACAAAGCGGCGCGAATTCGATAATATATTCAAAGTCTGTCGGATGCATTGAGTGTACTAATACGCAAGTGTCGAAGAAAAGGTGTACTTCGTTGAGTAATCTACAGCCGGAAGAATCGATAACCAAAAAGGAGCAGCAAGAAATAACAGAACGGAACTGTTTTTTTTGGGGGTGTATGTTGGTGATTGTTCAGTGGGTGTATCAGAGATTGACAGATCTGTTAAGATTTCTAGGCACAGTTACCACAGGTGTGTAACGAAAAAGATCAATATTCAGTGAGAATACATCTTCGAACTCTCGGCGGATTTAGGCCACCAGCATTTTCGCAATTCAAACTTTGCAGCGGGAAACTCTAAATATGAACGTCACTGTATGAACAATTAAAGACGTGCGGACATCCTGCAAGCCATTAGCTATCAGCGATGTTGTTCAACAGTGGTATCGGTCACCCTCTACTAAAAATGAGCGCTTAACATGAAGAAAGTTCCTGAGCCTATTAGAAAAACTTCGGTCAAGATGTCAGGGAGATTGGCACTAGCCAAGAAAATTCAGATAGCGGATGATTTGTGTCCAAAATTCAGCTGCGGCACCATGTGTTGGCTTCTAGCTGCCATGCCATCCAAAAAACAAGAGGGCTGAGATATGGTCAGATTGCCGAAGGGTAGGCAGGGGAAATCTAGGTGCAATTATTGGTTTCGAAAGACGGACCTTCTGATCAGTAAGGTCGCATCTGAACCACTGAGTTTTCTCAAGCTCAAACCATATGCGCTTGCTGACATTTTCCTGTTAATCTGGCCTAATGCCGTTTGAACGTGAAATCGAGCTGGTCTGACTTGTGTTGTCTGCCAGCAGCGTTGCCTAGGCTCGGGTCTATTCTCAACAAAAACTGTCTCATCGCCTCCAGTTCTTGAGAATGACAATCTGACAGCGAACACGTGATCGAACAGACGCACTGAGTTCAATTCGGTAAGCTGTTGCTCGTCCGAGTGCAGATGATCAACCAATGAGCAAATTTTACTGACAACTACGAAATCAATGGATCAACCAATCAGATCGTTTGTTTGGACATGTCACCTGATCGACAGTTAACTTGCTAGCCCCAATGGTCTGGTTCGGATCGATGACGTCAATTGTCTTAATGCAATAAATACTTGGGACCAGAATCACGCTAATTTTAAATGTGTTCACAGTATATCACAGAAGGTGTAGCTATGATGACTTTGAACTCTGGTATTCAGAAAAAAGTCACAGTGCGTTTTAAAAAAACGTATTTCTGGACCCACTTCTCAATAGCTTGCTCGTAGGGCAATGGGTAAGTCAAACAACCACGGTGTTATTCACTCGTCCCTTATATCTGTTGTTCGCGCTTGTTGCCGTGTTGTGCCTGTGTTCTGTTTTGAATGTTTCACCGTATACCATACGGCACTTACATTCAACCACCTATTTTTTTCGACCTTGAAATGTTTCGGGTCATTTTATGCCACCTTCGGATTATTTTGTAGACATCTCGGAATTCAGTTCATCGCTTACTAAAGTCAGTTCCTAAATGCAGCACAAAACAGCTCTATCCAAGTTGGATATCTCAAGGGTAACAATGGAAATTTCGAGAACACTCACCACACGCTGTGCAAGCCACTTTCCAAGTCTCAGTGAACAAAACGTACTTGATCGTTCGCTCAGCTGGGCAAATTGCTCAGTTCAGCAAACAAACCAACGACCATTTACGATGCCTGAGCTTCCAACATTTTCCTCTATTGTAAACAGGGTATACTCGCTGCAAAGTAACTAGGCGGAAACTTTGGATACCCATTGATGCTTTAGCGACATCAGTAGTCACTTAGAAGTTAATGTGTATGACGTCGGGACATTTGCCCCCGAGAAAAATTGAAATCACTGATAAAAACGAAAACCAGGAGTGCGATCTTTGGTGATATGCTAAACAAATTCGAGCCATAAAATGAAGAGAATTTCATTTGTTAGTGCTCGACTTCGTGGAGGGTCGTTGTTAGGAAAGGAAGCTGGTGGGCCGTCGATCATCGTCATCATCATTATCAGCTGTAAGAACCGCGTAATTGTCGTTCAGTGGTTGCAGCCACCACGATTTCGTCCATCGATGATTTGGGGAGGTAGCTGCACATTGGAGGCGGGAGCTGATATGTTGATGCGTAAATACAGCATTGTCGGTTGACTGTCAAGTGGGTGAATTGGGAAGAGAGCTATGAATTGAAGGTAATAGCTTGGGTGCACGAGCGCCATGGGTGGCGCGACCGGGCTATGTCTGACAAATATTGATGTGAACAATCTGGAGGTCTCCACCCAGGGAGAGGACAATGATCAACGCAGCTGAGTTTGCTGTTATGAACCTCCGTACTTCGATCCTTCGTGTAGTTTTTCAAAAAGAAGCTTTCGATGAAGTCGGCCGACTGGCGTACGGAGCACGTGGTCAAGCCAGCGCAACCTATGCAGTGTGTTATTTCATCTATTGTGGGCGAGTTATTTCTCCCTAATACCATTCGACGAACTTGAGCATTATTGATCGGGTGTCCCTACCAGATTCGCCCATGCTCCGAAGACATCGATGGTCAAACACTGAAAGTCTTTTGACCTCCTTAGCACGTAGCGACCGGGCTTCATTTGCGTAAGGAAAGTGTGAGGAGGGTAGTCGTTTCACAACAAGCATAAATACCTTACTAGCCGAATGAAGCTACTAGTTTCTATAATCCTTCAGGCGTGCCCATAACGCTGAATTAAAGTGTATGGAAGGCTGAAAAACGTGCATGTTGCGTCAGTTTTTAGTGATCAGGGTGAGCGCAAAAAGTAGCATAACTGGGGGACGAGCAGTATCCTTGCCTAGAAAAGTTGAGCAAATATGGAATTATACACAAAAAGTCGTTTGGGGAATCTAAGGGAGGGAAACACCACTTGGGCCGTGAAAGCCCTCATAACAAATAAGAGCAAGTTCACTTGCTCGTTTTTTCTGACATGTCTACTGAAGAATAAGTTTCTTCAGACCAATCAAATCCACATTGCTTCTCAAGGCGCTTGAATTTGTCTACACATCCGTATTTGATTTTCCTCCGTTCCGGGCCACAAACAAAATGATTGGTACTGTCAGTGCTATTATCGTTTACTCGAAGTAATATCAGAAGGTGAATAACACTAACAGTAAACAGTTATGTACAGTGGTTACCTGAGACACTAGTACAACTGCATAATTCACAAAAAGGAATGAGACTTATCGAGTTCTTCGTTTGATAAGTTGTAGTAGATGCAGCCGAGGTTTGCAGAACGCAGTTGAACTGAATGCGAGTCTTGACCGAGCGTGTTGAAATCTGACCTGTTTTTTGTCGTTTCATTCAAATTGATATCGAGTCCAGACTTTTCCTGTACAGTGAGTCGTGCGTGGGTTTCAATTGACTCTGGTCAAGGCGAAGTGACGAGCGTCGGCATTCTGCTGTCGTTGTTCCGTATACATTGTGAGTGAGGATACGCTTGCATTGTTTGTCTTAGGATAAGATTCCAGTAGTCTCGGTTAGCCGTGGGGCGAATGTTCATGACACTAGGTATGCATGTTTAAACAAATTATGTGAGTGGTTGAAGGTAAACATTGATGGGGTGGTAACTAAACTCTGGTAAAGCGGTTGAACGTGAACGTTGAAGGGACGGTACCCAACCGTACAACTACGACAGGGAGGGTACAGCAAGACGAGACTGTAAGTTCAACAAAATAGCTATGCTCCAGCAGGCTGAACTGGGGCATAGAGAACCACATACTGGTTAACTGACCATCATAGGCGTTGCCGACGGGCACATTGTTTGTGCCGGAGTAGATGCCTGGCTAGTCGGAAAAACAAGATCAGAATCACTGGGTTCCTCTCTCAATTTCCTCTATTTTTTGATACTATTTGTCCCACCCCATTCAAACGCACTAAAAGCTGTTTTGAACTATTTATCAAAACGCCAGAAGTACTTACTGTACTTCTGTAGTTTGTACTTGAGCTACTGGCCACAAGCAATCCATCAAGCTGTTCTGTTGTTCGTATGTGTCAAGCATGAACGAGGTTCTCGGGCGATTCACCCTAATGAGCTTTGAAGTGGTTGCTCACGGAACTCTGTGATCAGATTAGTGTGCAAGTGTCTGTTGAACCTTTCTTGTTTTAACACGAAGCGCGTGCTTCTGTGTCAACACCGAATCCCCTCCACTCAGGTCACCACTAAGTGAAACTACATGTAATTTGGGTGACACTCAACAGTAACTTACTCTCTGCATGTGACCTGAAGAAATCTGTGAAGCCGTAAACCTGCGATCCATCTAACTCAGGCTTACCAGTATGCAGCCAGAGAATTAACCAGTCGGGGTTGCACGCCTATAGAGGGTGTAGTCTTCTCTATACGTTGTGGTCACTAACGGATTCCACTCACATCAGAGGGTCACCTGTTGGTGCGCCAAGTATAGCGATTCCTGTTTGTTGTCAACAGAGCATATATTAACTCTATCTAGATCTATAACTGGTTTTCATCTTTCTTTTTTCAGGTGCGAGTGCCCACTGAAGTTTCACCTTCGGAGGGTGGTCGAACTCCTCTACAGCTGGCCTGCGCAAGAGAATACGGACATGAGGTATGAGAATAGAGGCGATTTCGTTTTCCACTCATAGGAAAATCTGACAGAGAGGCGTTTTTATCAGGCTAGTTTTTCCTAACCAGATATCTGGCCTCCAGTTTTCAGTGAGAGCTTGAAATAGCTTAGTGATTAGGGTACCAATTTAATTACTGGAATATTCTTGGTTCTCGTCTGCTCCCGTCTAGGCCTGGACAACCTTGCAGTATCTCTGCTCTCATGCTTCAGTCGGGTGACATGGCAGCTAGGAACCGAGAGTGCGTTACAGATGAACGAATATTATTTTTATTATATTCAGAAGGACCTTGTTTGGTAATGTGCTGAAATATTGGTAGCTCGGGTGAGTTTATTGGTTTTTGATAGGTTCGCCAACAAAGATCACAAACGAATCAATATATTCACTAACTTCGTTACTCTTTAAGTAGCCAATCACGTCAGGAGATAACAGATAGCGTTCGAATGCTATATAAACGCACGCAGGCAAGGAAGAAGTACCCGTCCAACTGCGCACCGATGATGTCTCCTCACATGGTGACGAAACGCTTGCAAGCCAATTACCAAGCTCGGCGAACAGATCAACAACCACCCGATCAACAAACAATGGGACTCTTGTTTGCCTATATGTTTCACGAGTCTTCAATTCGACCATCTTTCCTCGTGGTACGAAGATCTATGCGTATGTTGTGAATTTTTGTCATGGACAAATGATAACCCCAGAGAGGAATGGTCCTTTTGGAAACGTTGGAAATGTTTGCAGAATCCCTTCAAATATCATCACAAAAAGTGACTACATGCTTGTGACTAATTTACTTGATCTGTAGTGGAGGGCATCCTGATAAATCGATCGTTTTCTCAATGTGTCTAAGCATTCATTTCGACACGCTTGACCAACCCGCGCGTCATCGGACCCAAAAGATGACGAAATTACATGTTAAACCCATTGTATGTTTTACCACGCATCAAGGCTGACAAGTAGCACTCTTTGTTAGCCAGTCAATCATATCTGTCCGTTTTCGATTGTTTCTTAAAGTCAGCGTCTTTTCTACTCGTATACAGATTCAGTTTGGGTGGAAAATTCATTTGAATCAGAATAGTTCTTTTGTGTTTCTAGGAGCATAATGTGCATCCAAAACTTTTGAAATCTCCAGCTGGACTGTTATTGGAAACACTGGGGCCTCCTTCAGCACAACGTGTTTGTGTGGGAACAGGAAATGAGCACAGTAACATTTATGTGTTGCGACGGAGTAGTTCAAACCAGATATCGATCAGCAGTCCTAATTGTGTCCAAAAAATGTTGGAAGCCATCATGGTTAACGGAATTATGGCCAATCGTGTTGGAAGTTTGGCTTTCGCAAACAGTGTTCAAGCAGATTCGATCTAAATATAACTAGAGACGGTTGAGATAAGGCGGTGGATGTCGGAACAATAGTCGGGATAATCTACCCAGATTCCATCAAAAGTGAATGTACCTGTGGACCACAGTACCCGCTATCGAACATCAGAACGTAGATCTTTTCTTTTCTGAAGCGCAAATGTCTCAGAAGATACACAGATACACACAAGAATGAACTCAATTGAGACCAGTTGAAGTGGAATGTTGAGTGACACAGTTGTACGTGTCCTTACCCGACAGATCTTACTCTGTTCACTGTCCTCAAAATCGTTCCTACTTGCCAGTGACGTAAAAACAACTTGTCTCCGGAAGGCATTTGCGTCCTTTAGATGCGTATACTAGTTTAGTGTAGAATAACGTTACCTTTTTGTGTGATGTCGATAATGAAAAGCATGTGAACTTTCTGTGAACCCAGATTTCATAGTGTGCTTCCCGAAAAAATGCCCTTAATGTTCCTAACCTTTCATCATCATCATCATCATCATCATCATCATCATCATCATCATCATCGTCGTCGTCATCATCCGAATCATCAGCATCATCCGAATCATCATCATTGTCAACATCATCATCATCATCATCATCATCATCATCATCAACAACAACAGCATGACATCAGTGTTCAACACCGATGCCTCATTGCCGTACAACAATGATTTATTTGAAAGCCTTATTGTAAAGAAAAGAATAAAGGTGGATGGGGGAGGGACTTAGTGCTAGCTTAACACAATCATTCCGAGGTGCCTACACCTCCAGACATTCACTCAGGCAGTCTGGATAGAAACTGACAACAAGAACGCCACTGAC